AACGCTATGGTAACCTCCAGTGACGATAGAGTACCATCTTTCAGCTGCTTCAACAGCTCTTCAACGGTATACTTCTCGGTAATCTCCAGTTCCTTCTCGCTCAACAGTCCCGACTTTCGTGCAATGCCCATCTTCATCAAGCGATTTGGATGTTCCGAAAGCGGCGTCTGAAGCATGTCCGTGACCGATGCTGGAAGAAGCCATTCTTTTGGTATCTTCTCGCGACTGGACTGCTGCTTCGCAGCAACTTTACTCTCCCATGAGTTGGAAGCCATAGTCGATGAATGAAGGGAATTGCTAAGTCTCGGAAAGATTCGAGTTGGAAAGATACGGGCTGGACGCGTAATATTGGTAATGGCCAGCATCCGGAGATGCTAAGATATGTATATCATTGGAATACTCAGATGCCGTAGTATCTATCCGTAGCTGAATAATGCGGGGTCCAGATCTCGTCCGCATGATCGCGAGGCAAAGTGTTGATATCTGGCCGTGTCGGAGCAACATTTCGTTTCGTGTCTGAGCGGCAGACGTTAGCGCGACACTACCCCACAGCCGGGAGCGCCAAGCCGGTGGGTTATTTAATTCGCAATTCGCCAAATTCGCCCCGTTCGCCTGCGGAAACACGCAATCCGGGGTTCGAGATAGGGATGCGCAGATAACGTACAGAACCCAGCTGACACTGCCCCAGCGGTCGCTGTGGTATATATACGCACGAAAGCTCTGGGTAACAGTGGGGAAGATATCCTCGCAACAAGCTCCATGCCTGTGATAAACAACCTCTTCAACGCGATTCTTTTTGTTTCGTACCCTCCTGAGAGCGATGGCCGACAGCAATGGCTCCAGACCGGATGATGGCACCTTTTGGGCTCCGGGAACGCTACGACTAGAGGATTGTAAGACTCGCATCTGCCGCTGTAAAGACCGCACACTGACTGTCCCGCTGTAGTGACGGGGCCCGCAACGGACGTCATCCTCCACCCAGTGCCTAGCACCGAACCAGATGACCCCTTGAACTGGAGCAAATTGCGCAAGACCATCAACTTCGGCTTGACCGGCTTCTTCGTCCTTTGGACTTTTGTACAGCTCCAGAGCGGCACGACATCATGGGGCCAAATTGCGCCTGAACTGGGCTTCACCAACGATCAGCTGAATAATGGCGGCGCTATGAGCTGTGCTGGGCTTGCAGTCGGTTGCATGATCTTCATGCCCTTCGTACACAAGTACGGGCGAAGACCTCTGTACCTGCTCAGCTCTGCGCTCCAGTTGAGTGGGGTGTTGTGGCAAACCCAGATGGCAAACTATGGTGACTATATGGGCAGCAACTTCCTTGCTGGACTGGGCGGTGCTATTAGCGAGGCTGTCATCCAGATCACCATTGCCGATTTGTTCTTCGTCCATCAGCACGGAACTATGAACGCATGGTACCTGGTCTTCACGTCCGTGGGTGCCTCCCTCGGCCCGGTAGCCGCCGGCTTCGTTGTGGAGTCGCAAGGCTGGAGGTGGATCTGGTGGTGGTGCACCATCTTCCTCGGTCTGAACTTCGTCCTCGTCCTATTTTTCTTCGAAGAATCCAAGTACGTCCCGATTCTCAATGGTCAGAGTGTGCCACACTCGGCTGGCTCGAACGGGCTCGAGGACGGCCGTCCCGACTCAGGGCTGCAAAAGGCCACAGATGGCAAAGGCGACGCAAAGCACACCGCCATGGAGCGCATACAATCCAGAATCGACACCTCCTTACCACGGAAGACTTATCGTCAGCGCATGGCCATCGTCACCCCGTCCAATCAACGCATCGGCCACCACTTCTACCAGCCAATCGTTGTTTTGTTCACTTTCCCTGCCGTGGCCTTTGCTGCACTCACTTATGGAACCCTGCTGGCGTGCATGGCATTGATGAGCTCATTACAGGCCGTCTACCTATTGCAACCACCGTACAACTTTGGAGCCTCTGGCGTTGGCCTGATGAACATTGCTCCGTTCGTTGGCACGTTCTTTGGATTCTTCGCGGGTGGTTTTCTGAACGACAGATCTATCATGTACTTCGCCAGGCGGAATGGAGGCATTTACGAACCGGAGATGCGCCTGTGGATCACCCTCATCTCAGCAATCCTGCTCCCAGGCGGTATCCTGATGTTTGGGCTGGCCCTAGCCAGGGTATGTTGGTAGCACCTAGCTGTAATGATGGTTCACTAATAGCTTCTCCAGGGTCTGCACTGGATGATATTGGCCGTAGGATTCGGACTGTTCGGCTTCACATTCGTCCTAGCTAGTGGTGTCGCGCTATCCTACGTCACAGATTGTTATCAAGAGGTGAGTCGATAGCACCCATCCCCTTCGAAGCGGAGTTCCCACTGACATAACAACCTTTAGATCCTCGGAGATGCTATGATAGGTATCGTCTTTGTCCGAAACCTATTCGCCGTCGTCATCCTCTTCGCACTCACGCCGTGGACGAACGACATGGGTATACAGAATGTCTCCATCATCACGGCGGCTGTCTGCTTTGCGATCCTGCTGATCCCCATTCCCCTGCTACTGTGGGGAAAGAAGATCAGGGTTGCGACGGCGAAGAAATACAAGCGCATGGCAATGCGACAGCCAGCCCATAGAACACTTGAGTAGTGCTCATGAAGGGTCTCGCATTGCTACGCTGTTCCTGGAAGAAGTGGAGCGGTTGAGGTGCTCGTTCCCGTACGAACAACTTCGTAGTCTCGTTCCACCCCACCCAGATGCTTCCAACTGAAGACATTCGTTCTTTGAGCTGCGTATCGTTCATAGTTGATAGATTCATTGAGGAAGCCATGAAACGATCTCGCTCCAATGTATTTGAGCCGTACTATCTTTGATGACCCAAAATGCCATGAGTTGCTTCTTGACTTTTGTTCGCAATTCTTTCGAAAATTCAATGACGACGTCGATCTTGTCGAGCGCCATTTCGCGCTGAGCAGAATCGACCAGCTCGAAGCAAGCAAATACATATGGGATAATGGCGCCTGGCACCGAGCGCTTGGTGATTTGGAGTATGATCCGCAGCTCTTCGAATATGGCATTTGAAATGATAGTGCCTCTGGCTGACGCTGTGCCATATGGATGTCGCAGTCGATGTACGACAAGCAGCACCGACCAGCGATATAGTTTGGCTTGAGACATGATGCTAGCCACCTCCTCCTGTAAGAAGCGGCTGATCTGGTCAACGGGCAAGATTGGCGTCCAGGCCTCGACCGCGACTTCGATGTCGTTCAGGGCTTGCGTAATCTCGGATAGATCGAGGTTCGGGTTCTGGCGTAGCGAGTCGGTGATCTTGCAAACGTCGTAGAGGTACGGTAGCATAGGCCAGGCAATTCCCATATATCGATCAACCATGTCATCTGTCTCTTGGACCTCGAGCCGCAAGGTTGGAGCTTCGCCCCGTATGATGCACTCTTCGGTCTCCGCTTGAATGAGGCAGATGACGAAGGCCTGGCAGTCCGGACTGAGCTCCACTGTCGATTCGTATATGGGCTTGATGATGTCGAGAGTGTGTCGACAGATCTCCAATGAGCTCCCGGATATGTGCAAGGCAAACGTGATGGCGCTCACTGCAAGCATCAACACGGTCTGAACGTCTCCAGGGTCAACAGCTTTGACAGACCGCAATGTGGAGACGGCAGAGGCAGCGCGCCTGTGACCAATGACTCGGTTCTCATGGTTTGGACCAGGCTCGTACTCGCAAGCTAGGAGAGCTGCGGTGGCTATCAACGAGTCTTGTACCCACGACGTCGCGTTGTGGAGTTGACGCGCGAAGGCTTTGTGGTGGCAGATGCGGAAGCTTGGCGCGATCAGGAACTGGTCGATGCGCGTTTGGCCTTGGGATACGCCCTTGACGAGGTGCATCTCCCGCTCACTCAGATCCGCGAACGGGGATGGAGCCCTGGGCAGCGCGACTATGTCCCAATCCGGCATCGCTGGGCTCGCGGCCGAGGCTGGGCATCTGGGTGACGAAGAAGCAACAGAAAGGCTGTCGCTCCGAGCCGTGTGTAGCGGGCTGCGTGTCGTATCTTCGGTGCGCTGATACCGAGGTTTGCGGCCAGCAGTGCCAACTGGTCGTAGGGTCTGGCATGAGTTGCGGAGGCGTTGGCATCGCTCGCAGGCATCCTGGCCGGGGACGCGCCTGCATCTCTCTTTCACGGCATGGCACCTGTCGCATGCTCGTCTTGCTGGCGGTCTGGCCATCGCGGACGCTCTCCGGTGGGTCGCAGTGGATACATGCTCAGTGAAGGGTGGTGTCTGGAGAGCAGGCAAGGTAGCTGAAACACCGGCGGGTGCTGAGTAACGAAACACGTGCCGTCCGGCAATCCCCGCGCCGCTGGCTTCGATCAACCGAGAAAGACATCGACCTGGGATCTTATTGTATACACTGGGATATACGTCTGTGGGTTGGTGATACAATCATGATGCAGGTGTTTATTTTGCTCGTCTTTGTCGCGTCTCGAATCTCGGGAAGATGGTGAGAGATTGATGGAAGGAACGTTCCGCGTACACGGAAAGCACGCGTCCCTGAACGACGCGACTACCATGGAGGGAAAGCACGACAGTCATCACCATCGCGGCGGGGTCAAATTTGCGAAGACCAACACTGACGTGCTGCTCATCCACCATCCCTCATCCCTCATCATAGCGCGACTAACAAAAGAAACAAAGACCGCCTGCAACGGTAGCAGAACAACAGCTTCAGGCTGCCCACAGCCAATTCTCAGGACGAGCTCCGGCAATCCTTGAGCCACTCGATGTACCTGTCGACCTCGGCTACCTAGCAGAATGGAGCACTCTGCTGAACACGCCGACTCAGTTTGGGCTCCCGCTGAGCCTATCCAGGATGGACCAGACCCGGGCCACGTTCGACGCCGCCATGGACCTCATCCATTCGGGGTGTCACATACCTTGAGAACGTCCTGCCTGAACTGATCAAGACAAATATAGAGATGAAAGAAAGGCTCAAATTACCCGCTAGCGAACCCATGATGGCCGATAGCTTTGCACCGCCTCTGTGTCAGTCTATAGCAGATGATGGCCTGCACATGTGCACATCGTCGCTCCGCTCCAACGACTGCAGCGGCACAGCAGATGGCGTTGCCTCTGCGCCTGACAGAATGACTAGCGAGACCGCAATGTCTAATGTCGAGCCACTGGAGGATCTGGCCGATGTGATTCTATCGGCGCTTCGCCTTTATCTCCAGAGGAAGCAATATGCATGCATGGTGCATGTGATCCAAGCCAACTTGGCGAGTACGAAGAGTATGTCGTGCAGCTATACGATAATACAGCTGCTTACCGTAAACAGCAGCTTCATGATCGGACCGCACGATGAGCAACATTTGCCTTCGCCCAAAGACTGGATCTGCACACCAGACGAAGACCTGACGCACGGCGTTATGGACGAGCAAGCCGACGACAACCCAACCTTCCATCAGCCTGCCGAAGTGTTGGAGAAAGACACGGCACCACGCCCCCCTCGCCCTTGGCTGGTGATGCCAAACAAGCCGGCCCTGAAGCTACGAGAGCGTGGCGAGACAGACCTACCAGTAGTTCTACGCATTCTGCCGAGCGATGGCTCTAATGACCACCACGGTCTGCAAGGCTCGATAGATCAGTGACACTATTATGGCTCTGTAGTTCTGTCTAGATTGCCACTGCTACAGAGGAAGTGAGCCCGCTCCACCTCCCAGTGAACATAACGCCTTTGAAGATCTGGAGGCCCATGTTCTTGGTGTACAAAAAGATGGGATAACTCAAACGAGATGTTTTGCGTTTGCTCTTACCTCTGTTGCACGGATGGGCCGACCGGATGCCTGGACTCCGGCTTACTGTGTCCCATTGTCTCCTTCGCGTGCCCTGTGTATCGGGCAGTATAGTCGCCATCGCGCTGGCAATCGCATCTGTCGTCTTTTCCGACATGCTGTTGTAGTCGACACAACCACAAATGACTTATCACTCCCACGAACACGGTGGATATGACATTTTGGAGAATGTGCTCAAACCGCGAGTCGTGTTCAAGGGCATGAACTCCATTTTAGAAGTATACATTGTTTTTGGTCTAGGCGCCGTAGCTGACTAGCCGCGTACGTGGCCTTCTCTGTCTGCACTCTGGAGTCACCGCTCATAGCCCGTACATAGGTCCTTAGTAATGCGAGCAGAACAATGCCCCGGGTCATTCCGAGCTTCTCTTACCTGGTTGTGAGAGACTTCGAGCAGTACGGCTTGCGACTTCAACGATACATCTCAACAGAACCTTTGAGAACTGTACTGTACAAAGCTAGCTCAACCCGCGATTGGTCATGCAGCTTCGGGGGTGACGGATAATAGTCAGTAGGTCGCACAGCCGTCACCGAGGGAGTATGCGTTGGGTTGCGACGTAAAAGCTCGAGGTGAGAGAGCTTTCAGTCAACATTGGCGTCACCTAGTATCGCCGCTCCGTCACCGCGCCTTGCAATCTCTGCTCTCACCTCTGTTTACATAAGCCAGGCTGCCCAGGTGATAAAGGTCAGCGCTGGTTCTGCACCACATCTCTTCGCATCTCCAACACCGCACTCTACAAAACCATGGCGGATCCCAGCGCTCTCCCAGTCGCGCCTACACAGAAAGTCGACAGCGAGATGACTGCTGCTTCCAACAACCCCAGCGATGCGGCCTCTCGCGACAACTCCAGGAACAGACCCACCGGCGGTAACACCGTTAACCCTGCATTTCCCCGCGATGACCCCAACGTGGCTGGCAACACCAGCGCCGACGATGACTCTACTTCCCAAAAGAGAGAAGCCGTGACCAAAGCTTGGGAACAGTGGACCCGCACCATCAAGCCAATCGATGACAAGCTCAAGGACTGGAATGACACAATCACCGACAGTCAGTTCGTCGACAGTGTCATAGCTGAGCTCGAGCGCGCTTCGTCCTCTACAGCTGCAAAGCTCATTGGTGTCCTCAAGGCCGAGAATGAGCTTCTCAAGAGTTCAAACCAGACACTGACCACCCTCGCCCAACACGTCGGAGAGGACTTGGCTGGACAGACGACCTCGTCGGCTGGTGTGTACCAAGCACCCCGTCTTCAATACCCTATGCGTCCGCAGACCCTGCTTCGATGGTTCAGGCGTTTCGCTGATGCAGGATGGGCCGTACCCGCAGGTCTTTCAATGACCAAGGACAGGTTCGTTGACGAGCGTTACGGCTGCCCTGAGGATTGGCATGGCACCAATACAGTCTGCATATGCGACGACTCTTCCGGTCTCATCATCCACAAGGGCTTTCGCGATTTTCTGGACCAGCAGCGAGGATGTGTTCACGAGGCACCGTATGCACTGGCGATGTGGCTCTACCTTTCTCGATACAACATCTTCTGGCCCAAGCAGACTGTGTCTTCATGGTTCTTCGAACAAGCATCGCGAATCGACTCAGGTCACCAATTGGATCTTGCCAATATGGACGATGACCAACACATGAAGGCTTGGCTAGACGCCACTGCTACCAAGCTGCCTAGTATCTGGGCCCAGGTCCTGAAACTCCAGGAAGAAGATGACCGCACGATCTCTAACAAGCTATGGGCCCCGGTCGCGAAGTTCGTGAAGGACCACGAGCACGACATGCTCGAGCCTTTGTGCGATGTCTACAACCAACTCGGTGATGACGAATTCGATCTCAACGAAGCAGAGCCCCGGATGACCCAAACTGCGCATGATGTGTTTCTTCTTCGCCTCGCTGAGGGTGAGGCCCCAGCCACCGTTCTGTCTGATGACCAAGAGATGCATTCGTTTAATCACCTTCGCGTAGCCGCTCTCAAGGAGGTGCCTACTGGACCTGATCGCTATACCCGCGCTTTGGAGAAGAAGATGACTTTCGATTTGCGAGTACAATGGATGAAGCACAAGCCATCACCCGAGTCTAGCCAATCCTCCACCAACATCCTCGATGGTGCCAACGCGGACGAACCGATGGTTATCGATGACGACTAGCCAGGACGACATGACCAGCGACATAAGCGGCAGGCTTGGGAAGTGAGGAACAGATGACTAGATATGACGGAAGACAATACAGGAGGATACCATGGGAGGGGATATGGCGATGACTGTGGGGCATACATTTGGAGCCGGCATCGGCTGGTTGCAGACGATTCAAGGATGACTGTCTCCGATGAAGACTGTGGATACCAAATGACACTAATCAAATCTCATCCTCTCCCAAAGTATATAGTGAATAAGTGAAGACCTGACGGTGTGCTCGTGAGATCATTCATCTCTTTCCCAACGCCCATGCAGATGTGACTCTTTCTTGACCCTGAGAAGTGACTGCCATAATATTCATTAGAAACTATATCAATGCGCTATCCCCAAAAAAGACCTAGCCTTCTGATCAGACAACGACCTCGCATCAGTCTCAATCGTAACCGTAACCGTATTCGTCGTCAAAATCTGATCCTCCTCATACACCGTCCCCCGTCGACTCCGTCCCACCTCTTCATCCTCCAAAATGCCCCTTTGGCTCCAATCATCTCCCTGATCCTCAATCACCGTCCAGCGCCCTTCCTTGCCTTTGCCCATCGCATGCACAGTCGTAGTCGTCGTAGAATGTTGGCTTTGGTTCAACCGGGACAAGGGGACGCTTTGATTGGTCTTGGTATGCGAGCGCGAGTACGAAGATATAGTTTCCTTGAAGAAGACGCGAAGGACGGGGATGGAAGCGGCGATGATGGCGGTTGCGGTTTCGACGCCGGTCCAGATGGTGAGTTCTTTGCCGTTGTAGGAGAAGTCTTTTTGGCCGAGTTGGATTACGTAGATGCCTTTTACTATGGCGCAGACACCGGATCTGGGGGAAGTCGTGTTAGCATTGCTGCTCATCAGTTGTGTAGACTCGAAGTGACTTACAATACACCCATGCTCATGGCGATGCCCACTCCAATCTTCTCGCGAAGCTTCAGTTGTAAGCCCCATATCAGATACCATGGAAGCAGCGCTAGTGCAAAGTCTGCCGCAGCACACCACGCAGCGTTGAAGATGCCGTAATCGATTGAGTGGCTGGAATCCCAGCATGTTCCAGGGAGATCTTTGTTCCAGGCTTTCGCCATCGGCTGGCACTGGACCCATGTGGCCAACGCACTTGGCAGCATTATGAGGAAGAGGGTCACGATGCAGAACCATACGAACCCGCGTAGGTAACCGGAGGTGAGGCGGAGGAGGGTGACACCGAAGGATATCTTCGAGAGCGTGGAGGCGAAACAGGAGATTGATGCGGCGACGGACATTCCGACTGCGATAGTCATGAGGTATTTGGGGTCGACATCTTCCAGTCGTTTCCCGAATCCCATTTGTTGCCCAACTTGTGTGATGATGGCCTGGGCGAGAAGGAGGACCTGTTCATTCCCGTTAGAGACATCACACAGATGGCACGACGAAGACTTACCCATGACACTGTCAGGATGTGATCATCCCACCAAAGCCCCTGCTTCCTCGATAACTTCGCATAGAATCTCAAAGCCAGAAACCCACCACTCAATATCGTCAACATCCACGTTACCCCAGCAATCACAGGGCCATTATCCGGCACACCCATCTCGGTGCGGATCAGTCTGGAGGACCACCAATTCGTGTAAGCCCGAGAGAATATGCAGTCATGCGTACTGAGCGTGCATGCGAGGATCGTAGCGAAAAAGGCAAAGAAAGGGCTGTAGGTTGTGGGGATGGGAACCATGAAGAAGGATCAGCTACCGGCACTTCGCACACGGGTCCGATCATACCCAATGCCTGTAGTCCATCATCTCGGTATTCGCCGTACACTGGGGCGGAAACGAAGAGTGGTAGTGATGGGATGCTAGATCGACTACTTGACACGCGACATGGCGTGTTTGGAATCGGTACACTAGAAGCATGTCGTCGGGAAGTGGAGTCGGATCAGGCTAGTATGGCGAAAACACCACAGATGTTGCAATATGTCTAGTAATGGGTATAAGTGCATTGCTCGAGCGTTAAGCCTGTAGAGGGAAGCGGCACCGTTAGCTGCACGTCCGGCAACGAATTCCAGCCAAGCGTTCATGTCGCGACGAAGAAGCCTGAGAGAACACGATCGTCTAGCGGGCTGAACTGGGATAGACCCTCCAGGTACCTGGGCCCCGGAAATGACCACGCGGCATGGAAGCGTTGCGACCTGAAGGAAGGAGTTGAGTCGTCGTCAACATGAGGCGACGGGCGCTCCGTGCAGATGTGCGTCTAGGAAGTCTCAGACCTGCGGGATGTGCGATCGATTATACGATTCGTCGGTCCGATCATGCAGCCACTGCATCTCGCGTTCTAGGCCGTTAGCCTCGAATGGCAAAATCGCATGCACTTGTGCGACCACACGACGATGAGATGATCATATTCTCCATGGGACTTTGGGAGTTCAAAGAAACTTTCGGTGACAGAAGCCTCTTGACGCCCGAAGCTAGAAGATGCCGCAAACTTTGTGAGCGGCGCTGGAGTGACGCGGCGTCGGTGTCAAAAGGCCGGCGTTACCGAGCTACCACATGGCAATAGAGTTTGCGCCACATTTAGCACGCAAGACACCCGCTAGCTCAGATACGAGCGAAGAATATGTGTGGTCGCCGATGGCTCGCGCTGGGCTGAACGATTGAACTGGGCGGGATAATTTGCCCGAAGTTTTGACGTTGGGCACAAGCGACGAACGTGCACAAAGGGCTGTGGTAAATCCGGTGAATGGCGGGAAGGTTCGGAATCAAGTCCGCAACGACTCTTGCTACTGAGTATGTATTCAGGCTATATTGGACGGCTGATCCCCAAGCCGGCCTGTTTCCTATCCCTATACCAAAAAGATGTACGTGCAACTGCTACTGGAGCATCGCCGCCAGTGTATCATACTCTACCCCTTTTTGTTGAACTGCTTCAGCTTGTCCTGCACGGCTTGCTTGAGATCAAATCCTTGCATCACGCTGCCCCTCCTCTTCCTTTGCTCGATCTCAGCCTTGACTTCGGCTACGATCTCGTCAATCTCCGCCTCGGGGTCATCCGCAATACCCAGGAGAGGCATCTTGGCGTGGCTGGTAACACTGTCTGCCGAGTTGGTCCTCGCTAGCCTTTCTCGTCGAATCTCTTCCCGTGCTGCCTTCTCGATGGCAGGGTCGTCGTACGTGTTCGCTGCCGCTGGGGGCGCACGAGCCGTCTGAAGTTGAACGAGCTGCTTGCGGATGGGGAACGACCGCGAAAAGACAGCAAATGATCCGGCCACACCAATGAGAGTGTAGAAGTAAACCCGTGCCCAGATCTTGATCGTATCCGAGAAACCAAGCAGGATGAAAGGAGCGACTACGAATGCAAACACAGTCTGTGTAAGGACGACGCAGAAGAGGTCGTAGTATCGCTTCGAAGGTAGAGGCGATTTCCCGTCTGGCGTCATGAACAGCGGACGGATTAATCGGCGGCCATCTGGTGAATGTCAGCGTGAAAGCAGATAGCGCATCATCAAAGACCTACTCTTTGCAGCAGTTTGTACAAGAGCTGCCAGAATGAACGCCATGTAATAGCCAGGGTAGAATCCATGCCAGAATGCGCTAGTCACAAATGTGGCTAGCGTAGCCCTGAAGCCAGGTTTCTGTCCCTTTGGTGTCACACGAAGATACATGTAGTTCTTCAGCCAGGTGTTGGTGTTGATATTCCAGAAACCAAGGTAAGCACGAGCATTCTGCGCAGCCTCAATCTCGAGTGGCTTGATGTTGGTGAGACGGTCCCATTTAGCTCGACCAGTCTTGGGGTCAAGACCGTTGTAGCCGATTCCGGAGAGGATACACGATCCCTCAGATAGACTCCAAACTGCGTAGTACTTCATACGCGTGGTAAGACCAAGCATGTAAAGTTGCCAGATCCTGCGGAAAAAGTTGTATTGCATGTATTCGTCCCCGAGGTAGAATTCAGGGTAGTACCAGCTGGAGAATTTGATGAAGGCGACCAGCCAGAGCGTTCCGTAGACTCCTTTGGTGACAGCAGGCATACCGCTGCGAGGAATCTTCCGCTTCTTGCGCGTTGGGGGTGCCTTGGACGGATCGGTGCCTGGTGGGAGTGTGAACATGGTGGTAGTGATGTACTGGCTGTAATCGGCGTAGTCAAAGGCTGGGCCAGCCATAAGTGCAGGAAAGAAAAAGACATAGCCGATGTAGTCGATCATGCTGGGCATCGTCCGGATAGCATGGGATCGCTGTTGTTCGGAAAGCTCGGAGTCCGGAAGACGACCATCCTGGACGTTCCAGCAGAAAGCAGTCAGCTTCATGACCAGGACCATTTGAGCTCCGGTAATGTCAAAGACGGATGGGTCATTCACAGCTTGTCGGTAGATGTGGTTCACCGACATGTGGCCCATGAGAAATACGAATCCGATCCATGGCATGTACGGCGAGTGGATCTTAGAGGAGATGAGGTAGGCTCCGCCAGCACTGATGAAGATGGTCCGTAGGCCGGTCCACAAGTCGAAAAGGCCAACAAGGTAGAACATGGAGACGCTGGAGCCATTAACACCAATTCATCCGAAACAAGATTTGATGAGCCTCACGTAATGACGAAGACATTCTTCTTCCATGGGTCCTTGTCGGGAATCCTTTTCAATACGGCAGCTAGAGGATATGACAGGTAGAAGGAGAAAATGAGCTTGACTAGGTGGAGTCAGCAGAACATCAGCCACATGTGCCATGCGAGATCTTACGCTCATCAGCCGAATTCCCAAGCGCACCAGCCACATATTCAAAAGCTTCACCAGGGTCAGTATTGGTGGTAGTGGCTCAGTTAGCTAACACGTACGTGCGTTGATGTAGGGCAGCATGGTGCCAACTGTCAAGCTGACGCAAAGTCAGGTCAAGAGACAGGAAGTGAACCAGGAGCGCTGAGAGTTGAGAAACAGCTGTATTATATGTGAGGCATCGGGCCTGTGTCGGGAGGCGGAAAGTTAAGTGAGAGCATGCAGGCTGTGGTGCATGGTGGGTGAGCAGCCAAGATGACGTCGGGGCACGTTTGCCGAGGCCCGTGCAGGGCAGCTCAGCGCTCACTGGCCAACAAATTCGCGATAGAGTTGGGACGCGACTTCGCGAATCCTCCACGGGCGCAACCACGGCGATAACGCCCTTGATAACGCCCTTGATAACGCACCTCAATAGCGGACCTCCGTCGCCGACATGGCCACGACGTACAACCTCGAGCCGAACCCGACGGCCAAAGTCGTCCTGCACACGACCACGGGCGATCTTGAGATCGAGCTCTTCGCCAAGCAGACGCCCATCACGTCGCGCAACTTCCTGCAGCTGTGTCTCGATGGCTACTACGACAACACCGTCTTCCACCGCCTCGTCAAGGGCTTCATCCTCCAGGGCGGTGACCCCACGGGCACGGGGCAGGGCGGAGAGAGCAGCTACGATGGCGAGCCCTTTGCCGACGAGTTCCACAGCCGGCTGAAGTACACGCGACGCGGGCTGCTGGGCATGGCCAACACGGGCAAGAAGGACGACAATGGTAGCCAGTTCTTCTTCACCCTGGCAGCCACCCCAGAGCTGCAGGGCAAGAACACCATGTTCGGCAGGGTCGCAGGCGACACCATCTACAACCTGATGAAGATGGCCGAGGCTGAGATACGGGACGGCAGCGACGACCAGCCCATGTACCCCACCAAGGTCACGGGCGCCGAGATCATCATAAACCCGTTCGAGGACATGGTCAAGAGGGTGCAGGTGGCTACGACGAATGAGTCCGAGACCAAGAAGCCCAAGAAGGCGAAGAGGAAGGCTGGCAAGAACGTGCTCAGCTTTGGCGATGAAGCCGAGGCTGATGCGGCGCCGGTCGCGAAGAAGCCCAAGTTCAACACCAAGCTGGTCAGCGCAGGAGAGGAGAAGCCTGCCTCGAAAGCATCCGAGGAGACGAGAGAGATACCCATACGCAAACCGTCGCGAAAGTCACCGTCACGTTCCCCATCGCCCAAGCCCGCACAAAAAGCCGCCCCCAAATCACCACCCAAACCCAGAGCGCGCACCCCACCACGAGAACTCTCGCCCGAATCCGAAAAGCGATCGAAGCTAGACCGTGTCAACCAGCAGATCGCCGACCTCAAGGCATCTATGAAGCGGAACACAGCTGCCCAAGATACAGGGCCAGCCAAGAAGAAGTCGCTATTGGAGTCAATGGTACCGTCCACTACAACACGAGGACGGAAACGCGGAGCAGGCGGCAACGCAAAGGACGAACAGTCAGCGTTGGACATTCTCAACCGGTTCAAATCAAAGCTGGACTCAGCGGACTCCACCGCCGCCCAGAAGATGACTGCCCCAACATTACCAGAAGAAACACCGAGCAACCAAGGCAACGGAGACGCGAACGGAGCCGACGAAGAAGAAGAAGGCGCATGTGATCTCCACTTCATAGTAGGATGCCAGTCCTGTAAAGCCTGGGACAAGCAGGATGAAGAGGAGTCAGACGACGATGCAGGCTGGATGTCGCATTCGCTCAGTTTTGCAAAGGACAGGTTAGGGAAAGACCTGGAGTGGAAGCGGAAAAATGAAGAAGAGTTGCTGGTGATCGACCCAAGAGAGGAGGCGAAGCGGCATAAAGCCGAAGGGAAAAAGGATAAAAAAGCGCGTGAGGACGCAAAGGCGACCAAAGCCAAGGCTTGATGTAATTTCGATACCCAAAGGTTGCGTTCGACCAGACGGGATTGGTCACGTTCTCGCGACATATGGAGGAACTGGATATGCAGTCTATCTGCTCGAGCACGGTACCTGCCAATATACCCATGATATCCCCCTCGTCACATTGATCTGTAGTCCCATAGCCTGCCTTCCGCATTAGTCTTGTCGTATCTGTTGAGTATGCGTGCCTTTACTCCGTCTCGCACGTGGGAGATATGCGAGCGGTGTGAAGGCGGAGAAGAGTAGCGGGCAGAGCTGCGCCCTTCCGTATCTTACCGTCACCTTCACTTTTCCCGCCGTATATCTTGAACCTTCTGCCACCTGAACTCTGCTCTCACACACTCTACCACCCTAACATCTTCTTCGACATCAGCGACGTCTGTCATTGATCCCCTGATACCTACCAACAGCTCCACCAACCATCTCCAACAAGTAAGTTCTCCAGCTGCCCAACATTTCCCTAAGTGAGCGGGCTCGCGCCTTGAAGAGTGGTCGTGACAGCTCGTCACAGCGGCTCCCAACCTCGCCCTCTACGCTTCCTGGCTATCATAGTTGGAGATAATTGCGACCACAACCAAGCGCCTGGAGCATCGCACGACACCCAGCCCTACTAACACCAGCCAGTCTCGTCGCTGCAATGCCGATCACCTGGACCAATCCAGAGGTACTCGAGCGCCTATTCATCGCGACTCTCGCATCATTCGACAACAAGGTACGTCCATCCCTACCCTACAACCCAATCAGACCGCACATACTAACCACCCCTTCCCTCCAGGTCAACATCCGCGAAATCGCCACCCTCTACGGCGGCGAGATGACCTACGACGCGCTTGAGAACCGGATGCGCAAGTTCAAGAAGGCGGCTACTGCGCTCAAGGACGAAGCCGCTAATGGCGACGGTGCGGCGAAGAGCCCGGTCAAGACACGCGCGAAGAAGGGTAGTGCTAGTCCGGTCAAAGGCGGTAAGTGTCGTACACTGAGATATCTACACCTTGTCTTACTGACCATTCATACAGCTGTCAAGACCGGTCGCGTGACCAAGAAGAAGGCTCCGGCTGTTCCCAAGATCAAGCCTGAGCCGCTGCTTGAGGAGGAGGGTATGCAGGGTATCGTTGAGGAGGACCTAGAGGCTGGTGACGAGGTCATTGACGAGATTGAGGAGGTCTAAAGGGATTAGTGTCTCGGGGGCTTTTCCACTGTTCATTGAACAGTCATGCGCTTCTGTATGCCTGTCCATCGCTGTCGACGCGTACGCGCTGAGACTAGCAGTCAGAAAAGTTGAATTGAATTCACCGAGCGCGCGTTAGCTTCTATGCTACGCTAGTATGCTCACTGTAGTAACTACAATGTGTACCTCTGGTCATCCAAGTTTCCGCATTCCTTCTGATTACATACTGTACACTCTCTAAATCCAGGTAGATCCGCTCACTTCAGCACTCACATCCCCCATATCCTCTCCACATCTCACCCCTACTCCAATAGATCAAACCTCTTCCTCCCCTGCGGCGTCGGCGTAACAGGTACATACCCACCACTCCTGCCTCCATCCTCATCTCCATCGTCATCACTGTCCTCCGCCGTCGGCGTTGCTCCCCCAGCCAAATGACCCACGTCATTTCCATCGAAGATCATACCACTACGCCTTCCACTTCTCGGCGCATCACCCAGAGTCATCGGCCGAGTCGCACTGCCGTTCACTGATGAAGGTGAAGGCGTCAATGGCGGTGGGAGTGCAGAGAGCCGGAGAGTGGGCAACGGAGAAGAGTGTAAGCTGGAGAACACGTCGTCGTATTTTTGAGCTAGGATCTCTGAGCTCTGGCGGTGGTGCGTGGTGATGGTGAGTCCCTGTTCGAGGGCTGTGGCCAGGGCTTCGATGTCGCCGGTGGACACGGAACGGGGGCGGGTAGGACGCAGTGGAGCTTGAGGAGCCATTAGTTGTGCGCTGTCCGCGCCTGATGTGTTTTCGGGCCAGTCATCGTAGGGAGGCGAGCGAATATAGCCTAGAGGTTGTAGGCGACCGAGTTTAGAAGCCTTCTGTGCCAGCTTCTCGTTTGCTTTGATCAGTCTCTCCTTGTCCTGCAGCAAAACCGCTATATCAGAACGCAGTTCACGATTCTCGGCCATGAGCGCGATAGCATGATTTCGTGATCGCTCGACCTCGATATCGTTTACAGGAGACGAAGACAACTGTAGAGTCTGGTGTCCATGTTTGCTGCGACCTTGACGAATACCATAGCGCTCCAATGGTACAGTGCGCTCCTGTTGCATGGCTTCGTAGAGAAAGTTCATTTTGATACCTTCTGTAACCTCTTTCGGAAGCTGCTCCGAGGTTGCAACAGTAGTAAGCGGTTTGCCCGTACGCAGATGGGCGATGCGTGGGCCAACTACCATGTTCAGAAATGCATGCAGACGTTCTTGAACGATCCACTGCCATGATGCGTACTGTGACCCCTGTTGTGGCTTCAGGTGTTTTGCCAGGTTGTGCAAGTCTTCCAACTTCGACTGTGCGGCCTCGAAGGCTTCCATCGATGTAGCATCATGCTTGGGTGATATGCTTCCTGTTGTGGCCAGAATGCTGTGCTCCATCTTCTCTGGATCGGCGAAGCGGATCAACAAAGTGTGGACTGTCGGACGCACTAATCGAATCCGATCACAGATGGAATCCAACACAATCAGATCAAAGCCATATCCATCACCCGCCTCTTGTGACTTCGCCAGGAAATCTCCTAAAGCAACCCACCCACGCATGTCCATATTGTCGATTGGTGCATACCAAGCCTCTGGGGTTTCCGGCAGCTCAACGACCTCGTAGTATAGTATCCAGATGAGGAAGTTGGAGAGCTGCGTGACGTTCAGGGCGTCTACGAATGCTTTGGCAAACCTCGAGATGATGATTGGAGCCGCTGCTGGTGCCGGAGATGATGAGGGTGGTGTGAGCACTCGGTTCTGTGCCTCTGGCTCGCGAGATTTGCCGAAGAATCTTCGCAAGCCATTCTGACGCCGCTCGCCTTGAGAGCTAGGAGATTCGGATAATGTAGGAGTCGAAGGCCGAGTGTTAGCAGAAGGTGTAAGACGGTCCGGCCGAGACTTCCTGCCCATCCTGAGTCTGGAAGGCTTGCGCTGAAGCTTGTCTGATGAGGCCATTACTGTTGGTGGTTGCGAAGACTTGCCAGTACCGAGATAGAGTAGGCTGGTTGCGGCTGCGTACTGGTTGAATTCCATTTAGGGCGCTCGCGGTGAAGCACCGGGAACTTATTACTCGATGTTAAGTGATTTGAGATTCAATACCTCAAGGTAAGCTTTTCCAATGGTTGTGACTAACGTGGAAGAGCGATTGATCGGATGCATTCTAGGAGGGACAAATTGAATCGCTTATACCAAGCCAGGCAGACTGTGGAAAGTGGCAACTACACACGGATTCACTCTAGAGGCTGCAAGTGAGTGGCTCCTAATATTAGGGACTGCTACCATGGCGCAACCCAAGTCTTGCGCAATGTCAATCACCAGCTGACCAATATCAGTACAGTGTGAGCGCCGAGTAGCATTTGTCGGAACGCTGAGCTTGATTCCCGTAACGCAGAAGGACGGACAACTGATATTTCGTCGGCCGCAATTTATTCGTCTGAACAGTGGCTGCCTTCACTTCGGAGTATGTCGAGGTGCTACTTCGTATATATCGCATGGAGGTCGTTAACAGTGTGCTATTGATTCGTCTACGTCCGTCTCCATATCAATATATATCGTGTAGTAAAGCGCGTGTCGGTACGGTAGTTGGATGCGTATATTCTCGGGTCTAATCTTCATCGTGGCTTAGTTGCTCGTCATCCGCAAGCATCTTCGGTAGATATAGTTTCGTGTTCTCGTATACTAGGAACGTGACGACCGTAGTCGGGATAACCCGGAGCGTGTTGGGGATGACACTGTGAAGGTTAGCCTTGCTATCCATCAGATCCCAGAGCGTAGGTGCTTTCTTACCCTTTGTAAAACGCCAGAAACCCTTCGTTCTGGTACGTCTTCCTGAGCACGTCCACCAGCCCGTTATACTGCTGTGCAGCGTTGTATTGCTGCAACCGCGCGCGTATAGGTTGGTACGGGTATGTGATTGCTCCAGCAAGCAGCTTGCTTCCACCGCTCATATACACATATTCCCAATTGCTCAGCTTGTCTTGCCCGCCGATATGCGTCCCCCGTCTTTTCTTCATATTCTCGTATATGCTGAACTGTACGGCGCCGTGCAGCACACCCAGCGACGAAGGCAGGAAGCCTGCCCAGAGCCCCTTCAAGCCTCGAGTTTCGTATACATGTTGAAGGCCAATTTTCATGGACTTGTATGCGGCAGGGTGGTTTGCGCCACGCTCAAGCATGCGCGTTTTCACGACCCAGATCGGGTTCGTGCAAGCACCGGTCAGGAGACCTAGCAAATGGTTAACGATGCCCATAGGAGTTCCGTGTCTCCAAACATACCAGCGATGATGCTTGCGGAGAAGAACTCGGCACTTCCCAGATGCTCGCCCTTCTGCCTCCTACTTTGGAACAATTCTTTCAGGTTTCCATAGAAGAGGAAGTATAGCCCCCAGCCCAGACTGTTGCCGAGAAGGTTTGGCCATAGTCCCCTATATAGTGCACGTACGCCTCCTTCATCTCTGATTACGTTGCGTAGGATGCGGTATGAGTCGCCAGGTCGAGAGCGGCTGGTGGTGTTGAGTTGAAGGCGGTTCTTCAGCAAGTCGAGTGGGTGGGCGGCAAGACAAGAGACAACGCCAGCGCTGAAGCCGGCTACGCTCTCAACCAGAGATGCAGATAGGGCGCTTCTAGGCACGTTTGCTCGTTTCGTTTTATCATTTTGCTCTACGGGTGGGAATGCGCGGGGCATTGCGGGTTCGGATAGTGGGCCGTCCAAATCGGCAGGAACATCCTCAGGCTCGGTGGGATGAAGATGGTGCTGGGGACGTTGCGATATCGGTGTTATATCATCGCGGCTACTGTGCGTGACTGGAATCTGCGCAGGCGATCGTGGAGGGGAGAAGATGTCGGATGCGGACTCGGTGGAAGCTTGGGCCCACCCGCGGAGCTACTACCCGCGAACAGCTCGCGTGGGACTACGTCACCGCACGTGGCCGACACATTCACAATTGATGAAAGCGGCTGTGATCAATGCTTCACCAAAGAAAATACATATTATGAACACACTAAACATACATGGCACACTGAGCCTACACGCCCGCACCAAACCTCTGATCCGAGCAACAAGTCGCATCCGCCGCGCTCTCAGGCTTCTTCTCCTCACCAAACGCCATTCGACTCAACTTATCCACAAGCGTACTTCCCTGCTTAACACCACTCGGAACGCTGCAATAGCTAGGCGGAATATCCATACAGGGATTACGTGTGAAGAAGTTGCGCGGCCGCAGCAACAGCGTCATGGGCTCAGCAGGCATAATTGGAAAGTCTTCCGGTGAAGGGAAATGCGTGATACCGAATGTGTGCCACAGTACGACGTCGGTGTTGTCGAGGTTCTCGTTGGGGTTGGCTTCGATCCAGGCGGTTATGCCTTGGGATGGCTCGCCAGATGTCTGCGGAACGTGACGGCCTGCTGGGTGGAGTTGTGTGTCATCGTCTATGATAAGTCAGTTGAGGGCTCCGTATATGATCTTTTGGAGATACTCACACTTTGTGACATGTACCGCATGTCTCGCGAAACCGGCTCGCTTCCATACCAGACTTCCAGGCTTTGGTAGTAGATCCGGTACTTCTCTGCTGACCAGTTTGTAGGAAGCAGGCTTCTTGCTGTATGGGTTGAGCTTGTTCGTATTGGCCATCTCCCACGTCCTGCTCGTTGCGCCATTGTAGTCCGTTGCCGCCTGCTCAGGGGTGCTGAGCTTCGTCTTCTTCGCGTAGAAAGCGTTGCCGTATTTGTTCTCTGCGCTGCCAACTTCGCCTTCTCCACGCATCGCATCGACCATGAACACAGTGTTCTCCGGCCCGTCAATGTTTGGATCAATGCGCATGCAGAAGAGATGTTGGTGATTATGAGCGTTCACTCCAGGGTACACCTCAGTTCCCCAACCCTTCAAATCTTCGCCTGGAAGCATCGCGTACGTGTTCAAGATACCCGTGAGTTTGATCTCCAGCTGGATCGTTCCGTCGAGGTGGAAGATCCAGTACACGCAGTACTCATAGTTTGCAGCTGTGAAGATTTGCGAGATGATGAGTTTGCGAGCACGAGTAACAGTAACACTGTCGTCGCGGAAGTCTGTGTGCTTGAACAGGATACCGGCATCTTCCTCGTGAATGCAAATAGCATTCTTGATTGTTGTAGCCTGGCCCGCTCGGTTGACAAAAGCAGCGTCCATGTAGTGAATCGCACCCTTGCAGTCACAGCCCAGGCTAAGCGAGTTGGTCATGTAGCCACCGCCGTATTCTCCCAGATCGAAAGCGTGCTTACGCTGATGTGGGTGTTCTGGGTTGCCGTAAGGTACGACCATCTCTGCGAGCGACAGGCGCCAGAACGTATCGCGAACGGTGCCCTTGTCGTCAAACGTGATGTTCGACAGAACGAGGCCTTCACGGTAGTTGAAGCCAATGTGAAACTTCCAGTTCGCCCAGCTGATGTATCGTCCGTCCAATTTGAATGAGACGCCTTCTGGCTGTGTGATGTTGATGGGCTTCAGATCGGTCTTGAAGCCACCCTCAGCCTCAATTGCAGCCGCATGATAGTTGTTTGGCGGGGCCTGGTTGAGCGGTCGCCGAACTGGTGGAACGTCGATGTGTATGATCTCCTGAGTATCCGAGTTGTAGATTGGACAGAAATCCAATGGGTACGTGTATTGACAGTCATCGGGGTGTGGGCGGTAGTACATAAGCGCTTGCTGAAGACGAACTTTGGTGCCAAATCGCTCATCGTAACCAATCGTCCAGGGATCGCAGTACACTTTGTGCATATCCTCTGGTGGGATGCCGATCAGGCCGCATTGTTCGATGACCTTTGGGTCTTTCCGTACGATTGTCTCCACGATCTGCAGGTCTTCCATTGTGATCTAGATCCAAGTCAGCAGGGCGTAAACCGCACACACACTCTCTAACGTACAAGTGGCTGCACATCATCAGTCAGCGCCCAGCTAACGATCTTGCCTTCGGTCAAATCTGCATGTCCATCGTACACTTTGCTGCCTCGGCCAATGCAAACTACATCAGCAACTCGATGTGGTCGTGGAGTGTGCTCGGGATCTTTCAGCCAGCTCATCATCTCCGCTTTACGCGGCTCCAACAAGGTGATGGCGTTGAAGAACACATCGCTGTGCTCTTTCCGGATGATAGCGACTGCGCGTTCAATCTCTGATTCGCTCAAAGGGTCAAATGGGTGTGGTGGCTCTCCAACACCCGTAATATGCGAGGCTGCTTGCTTCAATCGATCGAGCGCCATAGTATGGATGGATATGATGTGAGGGTGGTCGGATAAGGTTGACCGTTCAAAGCTGTCAGGGTCCAGCGGGGTCTTATATACCGGAGGCAGATCAACGGTCTAACGGCATCACAGCGCGATCTCAAATATCTTCCTTCGAATCGAATCACGGCCTATTGGCGAATCGGTCAAGTCATTAACGCATTGTATTATTCCCATCTGTCAACTCAGAGTCTTGAACGACGTTATCAACACGATAAGAAGAGGCCGCGGGACTATCGCGCCTCTCTGGGTTAGCCTGCCCCACTTCTCCACGCACGTTGCTCTCTGGGCACGATGCACCGCGTGTATGGCAGCTACCATCTCTGGACGCTGCACTGTTCTTCCATCGTCTACTCATCGAAACTGTGAGGGTCGTCGCGAAATCCCGATGCAGTAGGTCCATGCGGTGTTACGCTGGATGGGCAGGTACGGCGGTTGCGTGTTGGGTCGGACAAGAAGGTCCGACTGTGCGGGCTGCGAACTCCGAGATCGCGATCTCCAAACTTGGGTACGACATGGCATCTCGGTTGAGCAGACTGAACGTTGCTATCTACGCTGGCCGCAGACTTCCCATTGACAAACAGAACCATACCAGAGCATGTACAAGCTGAGTTTGTCTGCGAACAATACTGACTGCGTTGGATGCGCAGGCGAGCTACACAGGTATACGACCTTACAGCCCAGAGAGTATATCCTCAGTAGCCTTTTCGCTAATCATCATAGTAGGCAATATAGGAAAGCCTCCAGGCACCTTCGGAAAGGCGCTTGCATCTACGACCCGCAGGCCCTTCGTTCCCCTCACTCTAAACTTGCTATCCAGTACCGCGTACTCATCTCCATCGGCACCAATCCTACAACTGCTACTAGCATGATGACTGTACGCCTGCTCTTTGATGAACGTCTTCTGGCTCTCAACCGTACAGTTCTGCTTCACAATGGTGCCTTCGCAAGGGTGCAGCTCTTCGAAGGATGCTAGCGAATCAGGTGCAGACGGGTCCACTTTTGACAGCCAGGAACGCACCCATTCGACGCCTTCGTAGATGGCTTGGAGATCTTCCTCTGCGCCGTCTTTGAAGAAGTTGAGATTGATTGCCGGCATGTCGCGCGGATTAGCAGATCGAAGCTCGACCGTGCCGGCTTGCGAACGCGGATTCATGTGGACCATTGCGCACTCATATTGTGATGGGCCATAGGTCTCGTTGAAGTATGGAGGCCGATTGGGAAAGCTGTTGGTATCATTAGCGCATTCTCAGAGAAGGATGTGGATGCTTACCCTGGCCAGAAGCCTTCGAACGCGAACGAACCACACCACATGTAGATGTCGCGAATGCCGAGTTGCGAAGTGGACGTCTTCCAGAAGTTGGGGAAGATCTCCGACATACCAGTAACGGCACGCTTACCGAGTGACAAAATGCCAGTCTCATAGTTGTCGGCCATCTGTCTGCCTACACCGGGCAACTCTACTACGGGCGAGATATTGAACTTCGTGAGTTGATCGAGCGGGCCAATCCCAGAAAGCATAAGCAGTTGTGGTGAGTTGAATGCGCCGCCAGAGATAATGACCTCTTTAGATGCGAACACTTTCCCAGCGATACCTTTGTCATCGGCATTGGAACGAGGATCAGCACTGTACAAGCTCTTGCCTTGCAAGTACTCAATACCGACTGCTCTAGGTGGTCCTGGGGAGATCTTGTAGAAGATGATCTTTGTTGCAAGAGTGTCCAGCGAGATAGTCAGCGGATATTTGCCAGAAGCAGCAGTGTCTCTGGCATAGTACCCCGGAGACGACCGGCGCCCATTGGGGTTGATGTGGCTGACACCACCGAAAGGTCCAACGAGCTGGTCGCGATCTGGCTGCGCACCATTCATATCGCGCTGCAACAACGTCGAAGCAGAGGAGGCAGAGTAGCCAGCAGCCTGTGCCGCGAGCTCACTCAGCTGCTTGGCGTCCGCACTGGTAGTGTAGCCTGGATCTAGCATGGTCATGTCGAGCCAGCCGTCGTGACCATGCTCGTATGTACTGTTGTAGTGCACCTTCTCGAGCTTAATGAGATACTTCCTCATATTCTCATGCGACCATGTGTCGTCTCCGGTAATTTCCGCAATCTCGTCCCAGTCTGCATCATTGGGGTTCATGGTCAAGCAGCCGTTGTGCATCGCACAGCCGCCCAAAGTGCCTGCGCGTGGATAGTACTGAGTTCATAGTCATCACCTGCTCTGATCTACTAAATGGGGTCATGCTCACAATTCCAAGAGCTTCGGAGTCCGTAGGTGGCTCGGTACCCACGTAGAACCCTCCATCTGGCTTACGCCACGTTCGATGCAAGTATCTCGCTTCCCTAGCCTCGTCGTTGGAATGCTTCACAAAGAAGTCCCAGCGCTGCCCAGAATCTTAGTCGTATCTCTATCAAGTTTCCGTTTCTACTTAC